CCTTTCCTAATTGAATACCCTTTCTTTTTCTTGCCTGATTGCTTTGGCTAGAACTTCCAATACTATATTGAATAGGAGTGGTGAGAGAGGGCATCCTTGTCTAGTGTCAGATTTCAAACAAGTGCTTCCAGTTTTGCCCATTCAGTATGATATTGGCTGTGGGTTTGTCATAAATAGCTTTTATTATTTTGAGATACGTTCCATCGATACCTAGTTTATTGAGTTTTTATCATAAAGTGCTGTTGAATTTTATCGAAGGCCTTCTCTTCATCTATTGAGGTAATCGTGGTTTTTGTCTTTGGTTCTGTTTATGTGGTGAATTACGTTTACAGACTTACGTATATTGAACCAGCCTTGCATCCCCGAGATGAAGCCTACTTGATTGTGATGGATAAGCTTTTTGATGTGCTGTTGCAATTGCTTTGCCAGTATTTTATTGAAGATTTTTGCATCTGTGTTCATCATGGATATTGGCCTGAAATTTTCTTGGTATCAGGATGATGTTAGTCTCATAAAATGATTTGGAGAGGATTCCCTCTTTTGGGATTGTTTGGAATAGTTTCAGAAGGAGTGGTGCCAGCTCCCATTTGTATGTCTGGTAGAATTCAGCTGTGAAGCCATCTGGATCTGGCCTTTTTTTGGTTGGTAGGCTATTAATTGCTGCCTCAACTTCAACCCTTGTTACTCATCTATTCAGGGTTTCGACTTCTTCCTGGTTTAGTCTTGGGAGGGTGTAAGTATCCAGGAAATTGTCCATTTCTAACAGGTTTACCGGTTTATGTGCATAGAGTTGTTTGTAGTAATCTCTGATGGTAGCTTGTATTTTTGTGGAATCTGTGGTGATATCCCCTTTATCGTTTTTTATTGCATGTATTTGATTTTTCTCTCTTTTCTATTAATCTGGCAAATGGTCTATTCTGTTAATCTTTTCAAAAAACCAGCTCTGGGATTTATTAATTTTTTGGAGGGTTTTTGTGTATCTCATTCAGTTCTGCTCTGATCTTAGTTATTTCTTGTCTTCTGCTAGCTTTTGAGGTTCTTTTGATCTTGCTCCTCTAGCTCTTTCAATTTTGATGATAGGGTGTCGATTTTAGATCTTTCCTCCCTTCTCATGTGGGCACTTATTGCTATAAATTTCCCTCTAGACACTGCTTTAAATGTGTCCCAGAGATTCTGGTACGTTGTGTCTTCATTCTCGTTGGTTTTGAAGAACATCTTTATTTCTGCCTTCATTTCATTGTTTATCCAGTCAACATTCAAGAGCCAGGTGTTCAGTTGTTTCCATGAAGTTGTGTGGTTCTGAGTTAGTTTCTTAATCCTGAGTCTAATTTGATTGCACTGTGGTCTGAGAGACTATTTTTTTGTGATTTCCGTTCTTTTCCATTTGCTGAGGAGTTATTTACTTCCAATTATGTGGTCAGTTTTAGCATAGGTGTGATGTGGTGCTGAGAAGAATGAATATTCTTTGGATTTGGGGTGGAGAGTTCTTTAATTGTCTATTATGTCTGCTTGGTCCAGATCTGAGTTCAATTCTTGGATATCCTTGTTAATTTTCTGTCTCATTGATCTAATATTGACAGTGGAGTGTTAAAGTCTCCCACTATTATTGTGTGGGAATCCAAGTCTCTTTGTAGATCATTAAGAACTTGCTTTATGTACCTGGGTGCTCCTGTATTGGGTGCGTATATATTTAGGATCCTTAGCTCTTCTTGATAGATTGATCCTTTTACCATTATGTAATGCCCTTCTTTGTCTCTTTTGATCTTTGTTGGTTTAAAGTCCATTTTATCAGAGACCAGGACTGCAACTCCTGCTTTTTTTTGGCTCTCCATTTGCTTGGTAAATCTTCCTCCATCCCTTTATTTTGAGCCTATGTGTATCCTAGCATGTGAGATGGGTTTCCTGGATATAGCACACTGATAGGTTTTGAATTTTTATCCACTTTGCCAGTCTGTGTCTTTTGATTGGAGCACTTAGCCCATTTACATTTAAGGTTAATATTGTTATGTGTGAATTTGATCCTGCCATTATCGATGCTAGCTGGTTGTTTTGCCCATTAGTTGATGCAGTTTATTCATTGTGTCAATGCTCTTTACCATTTGGTACATTTTTGGAGTGGCTGGTACTGGTTGTTCCTTTCCTTGTTTAGTGCCTCTTTCAGGAGCTCTTGTAAGGCAGGCCTGGTGGTAGCAAAATCTCTCATGTTCATAAAGGATTTTATTTCTCCTTCATTTATGAAGCTTAGTTTGGCTAGATATGAAATTCTAGGTTGAAAGGCCTTTTCTTTAAGGATGATGAATATCGGCCCCCACTCTCTTCTGACTTGTAGGGTTTCTGCTGAGATCTGCTGTGAGTCTGATGGACTTCCCTTTGTGAGTAACCTGAGCTTTCTCTCTGGCTGCCCTTAGCATTTTTTCTTTCATTTCAACCCTGGTGAATCTGAGGATTATGTGCCTTAGGGTTGCTGTTCTTGAGGAATATCTTTGTGGTGTTCTCTGTATTTCCTGGACTTGAATACTGGCCTACCTTGCTATGTTGAGGAAGTTCTCCTGGATATCCTGAAGAGTGTTTTCCAGCTTGGATTCATTCTCTCTGTCACATTCAGGTTCACCTATCAAATGTAAATTAGGTCTTTTCACATAGTCCCATATTTCTTGGAGACTTTGTTCATATTTCACTTTTTTCTCTAATCTTGCCTTCTCATTTTATTTGAGTTCATCTTCAATCTCTGATATCCTTTCTTCTGCTTGGTCGATTTGGCTATTGAAACTTGTGTATGCTTCTCAAAGTTCTTGTGCTGTTTTTCATCTCCATCAATTCATTTATATTCTTGTCTAAGCTGTTTATTCTTGTTAGCATTTCATCAAACCTTTTTTCAAGGTTCTTTGTTTGCACTGGGTTAGAACATGTTGTTTTAGCTCAGAGAAGTTTGTTATTACCCACTTTCTGAAGCCTGTTTCATCAAACTCATCTCCATCCAGCCTTGTTCCCTTGCTGGTTAGGAGTTACGATCCCTTGGAGGAGAGGCATTCTGGTTTTGGATGTTTTCATCCTTTTTGCGCTGCTTTCTTCCCATCATCTTTGTGGATTTATCTACCTGTGGTCTTTGCAGTTGGCGACCTTCGGATCAGGTCTCTGAGTGGACGTCCTTTCTGTTGATGAAGTTATTTCTTTTTCAGTTTTCCTTCTAACAGGTTCCTCTGCTTTAGGACTGCTGGAGGTCCACTCCAGACCATGTTTACCTGAGGATCACCTGCAGCAGCTGCAGAACAGTAACGGTTGCTACCAGTTGCTGCTTCTGTTATCTTTGTCCCAGAAGGATACCAGCCAGATGTCAGCCTGAGCTGTCCTTTATGAGGTGTCTCTTTGGATATACGGGGGTCAGGGAGCTGCTTGAAGAGACAGCCTGTTCCTTACAGGAGTTCAAGTGCTGTCAGCTCCGTTGTTCTGTTCAGAGCTGCTGGGCAGGTACATTTAAGTTTGCTACAGCAGACCTCATAACTGCCTTTTTTTCCCCACATGCTCTGTCCTGGGAAGGTGGGGTTTTATAAGTTAACTTCCTGACACGCTGCAGCCTTTTTTCAGAGATGCCTTTCCCAGCGAGGAGGTAGCTTAGTCACAGTCTGCCAGCAGAGGCGTTGCTGAGCTGCTGTGGGCTCTGCCCAGCTGTTGTGTGAACTTCCTTGTGGTTTTGTTTATGGAGGTATAGTCAGAACTGCCTCAGTAATGGCGGTCTGCGTCAGTAGTGGTGGACTGCCTCAGTCATGGCAGCTGCCCTTCCCCCAGCAGGGCTGGAACGTCCCAGGTCCAGCTGTGCCTACTATGACTCTCAATCCAGAGCATTTCAGATTGCTTGTCGTTATGGGGGAGGGACCCACAGAGCCAGATCACCTGGCTCCCTGTTTCAGCCCCCTTTTTCAGTTGAATGGGCAACTCTGTCTCCCAGGTGTCCCAGACGTTCCAGGCGCCAGTTGAAATGGCACCCAGATTTGTTTTTGTGCGGAGAACCACTGCGCTGGCTGAAACAGACGTGCTTGAGAGTCCTGGCACTTTTCTGCCCGGGAATCTCCTAGTCTGTGGGCAGTAAAAATTCATTTGGAAATGCGGTGATTGCTCACCCACTGTGTTCTTGCTGGGAACTGCACTCCAGCGCTATTCCTATTCAGCCATTTTGGATCGTCCCCCCAGAAAATTCTTTATAAACTAGGCTCTTACAGCAACAAAGCACTGGCTAAGCTAGTGGTCTTTTAGACTCACTTTTGACCAGTCTGCAATCATTTTTAGTCGTCAACACCCATCGTCAGTTAAAAAAAAAAAAAAAGTACAGAATTGGAAATACTAACAATAAGAAGATTTGGAGGAAAGTGGTAAGAAAACCCAGGTTCAAGTGAAGCAAAACAGGATTAGAAAGTTCTTCATTAAGAGCAGCTGTCTTGAGGGGAAAAACTTCAGAGGTCAAATTTAAAGCTCAACATTTTAAATATCTGAAGGCTAAAAAGACTTCAGTAGTAAAAAGTAGCTCCCTGGTTCAGAGCAACAGGAAAGTCAAAGATTATCCCTAATGTGTAAACTCAGGTACCACCTTAGAAAAAGAGGTTGTTTATGTAAATAAGTTAACAAGACATTTGAATATACTTTGTGGGATTTTATTTAGGTCAAGTTCTTAGTACACGGCAACAATTCCAAATACAATTAAAAAATTAAAAAGTGATGTTCCTCCACTCATCTGGAGGTGGTTTAATGGCACACAAGAAACACTACTGGCAACAGACTGCTCCCTTAAGTTCTCCTGGGTGGTTTTTACTCAACTCCCTCATAGTATCACCAACTCCCTCCGGGAGCTAAAAGCACAACTGGCCAGATCACAAATTGTTTACATTCTTTTTTGTAAGCCATTTTTTTAAGAAAAATGGTGCATGGACACAAAATATGATAAAAACTTTTTCCATAGAATTCTTAAGTTGCAAAAGAGATTTCTTCATTTTAATGTGAAAATAAGCTTTTTTTGTTTTTTTTTGTTTTTTTTTTTTACAAAAAAACCTCAAGATATTCAGCAAGGATCATTTATACACAGCTAGGCCCTGTCGTTTCGTTGTATTTTTTTTTTTTTTTAGAATGACAGTCTCAACCAAATAGGAACAAAGGTCAGCACAAAGTAAACAAAGGTAATGAGCTCAATGCCTCCCCATTTAATCACTTTTATAAGGCTCTCTCCAATAAGGCTGCTGTGCTGTGCTCCTACCAGTGCTGAATTAATATAACATTCCTACCAAACACACCTTATGGGAAAGTGTTTATACTGAGTGTAGTTTTAAGAGGGGTAAAAATGAAGATTATTTTCACTAAGGTTGCAGTTAGTACACACCTTTACACAACTCCGATAGTATTTATCAAAACATGGCATACCTTTTCAAGTATATTCTTGAAAACATCAAATAAAACTCTTAACTTTTAAAGAAAAATACAGCACATTTAGTTAAGACAGTTGTGGTGCAGTGGAAAATTGACCACTGAGTGAGAACTCTGCTGTTACTAGCTGTTAACATGAAGAAAACTTACTTCATCAGTCAAATGAGACAACCAGAATTTTTAAAATCTCATCTAGCTCAAATTATGTGATTCTAAGTAAATTATATGGGGGAAATTATCACCTTAACACCAATCAGGAGTTCCTGGCCAAAAAGTCCAGAAGTGAACAGATCCCATTCTTTTCAAAGACTTGTCAGTCACCTGCGAATTCCTCCATCAAACCTTTTTCAAAGGCAAAGGTCACCTTCAGGACATAACATGCTCTCTCCACAAAGGAGAAAAGAAAAGGTAGTAAAAGATAAACACAGTTCTTAATTTCAGAAAGGTCACCTACTAAAAGAAAATGAACACAAAAAGATAAAAGCAAACTACCATCATTTTGATGCCTTTCAAAGAGAAAAGTAGTTATCTTCAACAAAAACTGCCAAGGAGTGCAGCTACGTTACACACATCACAGTAAAGATGCATAATATTCTCTAGCCAAATAATAAACACCAGTAGTAGGAAAAAGGAGGGGATGAAAATGTCTCACACCCAGTAACTTTTAGGGACATAGCAAAATTAGCAGGCCATTGTCAACTCTAAAATGGGAACAGCAGGCGCCTCTGAGGGAGATAGGAAGTAGCTCAATGATGGAAAATACTAAACAAGATAGCTTAAAAGATTCATATTTATTCCAAACGGCAGGCTGAATCAGATGTAGATTTTGACACATTGGCACTATTTTTGATTTATTGCTTTGGCCATAAGGTCAAAGACAACAAGAAAATATATTTTCATTCATATCCCCATGGACTTTCGATTACTAATATGACAAAAGAAAAAGACAACTATTCATTTTTTTTTAAGGGATGGTCCCACAAACTTTAGGAGGGAAGAATCCCCTCTCCCATTAGATTTCCTCTATCCTGATAACATGGTTGCTTTATTGGTGATCTTTTGGACTTGGATCATCTGTTACATTATTATTACACAGCATGGAAGATTTTTCTGCATTCATTTGGAATTCCTAACACCATCTTTTAATTTATAAAAAGATAAATGAGGGGAACTTACAATAAAACAAAAAATACTACCCTCACAGACTATTAATAGCATGCAATCTATGAAATATTACATACATTAAAAGTCTCCAATTACTGTGCGCCTATCCTGTCATCACACAGTATCCTTCCAAGACAATCTATAGAATTCAAAACTGTACAAAAATTTTAAAGTGTGCAGAAAATCCAACAGGTATTGTTTGTAAAACAAAGATCATACACACATTAGTACTAAATAGGGAAAAAAAATCAGCAGACCCATGGACTTCCCCCTGCTCCCAACCACAGGTCTTCAGTATAAAGGACTTCACCAGTGTCTTCTGCACTCCCCCATCCAGCAGAGGTCCAACAGGCCAGCTGCATTCCTGCTGACCGCCACCAACTCTGTTTTCTGCACAGTTGTCTTCTCTGCTGTAGTGGTGAGCTGTGGGAACTACTTTTTTGTTTTTGAGACGGAGTCTCACTCTGTCACCAGGCTGGAGTGCAGTGGCACGATCTCGGCTCACTGCAACCTCTGCCTCCTGGGTTCAAGCAATTCTCCTGCCTCAGCCTCCGGAGGAACTGGGACTACACGTGCTCGCCACCACACCCAGCTAATATTTGTATTTTTAGTACAGCTGCGGTTTCACCATGTTGGCCAGGATGGTCTCAATCTCTTGACCTCGTGATCTGCACACCTCAGCCTCCCAAAGTGCTGGGATTACAGGTGTGTGCCACCACACCCAGCCTGTGGGAACTACTAGTGGATTTCAAAACACCCTCTGCCTCATTAATCCACTAAGCTTTCTCAGCAAAAAGCTGTTTAAATAAATAAGGGGAACATCTAATTTCAAAACAGTTTTTCTAATTATAGACCAGTACACTAAGGAGAGCTTAACCTATCCAAGTATAGTTTAGTTTGGGTCCATAATGGAGCTAAAGGCTCAGAGGACATTCAGGGCCATTACACTGCAGGAAAACAAGGAATAAAGGATGTAGGAATGACCTTAAAAAAAGCAAGAAGTGGAATGTATACAGGAGGCAAGTTAATGAAAGCTAACAAATACAAAGTGTTGGGAAAATCCAAAAGAAAAATAGCTATTGTAACTTGAAATGCGTTGTTAAAAACAACCTTAAAACAAAAAGGTCTTAATAATCTATAGCAGGGTCTCAATTAAATGCTCTTGTTTTATGTTCAGATAACATTTACAAGTGGAATATTCTATCTACATCATTCTGAATTTCCTCACACACTACTACACTTGTTCATTTTTCAATCAAGTTCCTCTTTCTGAACTTATTCAAGACCTCGTTTGAAATATATGAAGCTATTGCTTTTCCCCTTTCACCTAGCACAGGGAAGTTACTTGGCAAAGCTCTATTCTGGCCAAGTCACTGGGACTGAGTAGAGCCCACGTTAGCAGCTCTGGGCCTGAATAGGGCTGGCCCACCATCACAGCAACCACCTACAAAGAGGTAAGCCCTCCTGGATTTTTTCAATATTTCCTATACTGACTACAGTAGAGCAGGTTAAAGCCATCTGCCCTACAAACTCCATTGAATCTGAAGCTGTATTTATTGTACAGATAGGGGAAATGTGTTTTGTTTGTGTCAAAGTTATATTACTTTTTATCAATGTGATTAGATACGTATTTTGGCCTATTAATCTTATTCATGATATTCTTAGTCTGAGACAGGTTTAAATTCTGACTAAAAGCAGATGCTTAAAAGTCCAATAATACAAAATCAGGAGAGTATTACCTTTTCTGCAGCTAAGTGAGCCAATGATACAGCAGCAACTAATACTGGCCATTAATCACATCCAGAGAGCACATTAATACACCTTTTATTCCCAGTGACTGTCAAGAGACTTGAAAATAACCACTATTCTCTTCCAAATTAGAATACGATTTTCTAAATAGTGAAAGAAGTGATCATCATAGTTGGTCTGAACTCCAAGATCTACTCCTCAAAACAACACCGACGGCAAGGGTTCAGGATGCCTGCTAAGAGCATTTCCACAGTTCAGTCTCTTCAGAACCTTAAGGACCTTCACACACCCACCTCCACACATGAACCAGCCTACCACACTTCACATCTGGGTACACCGGCCATTAGCAACAGTGCAGTCTCATGCAGCAGCACATTAAAATCAAATGGTGGCAATCGTTTGCCACCCTCAGAATGTTGGGAGACTTTCACATTTCATCATCCTTATAATCCACAAACAAATATGAAGGGATGCAAGTGAGTTCACCATGCACTCGTCTGGTGCACTCAAGTGCTGAGAGAATGCAGAATTTACAGTGTTACAGAAGAAAAAAGCCATCTGAAATAATAGTAAAAATGGTTAAGTGTGGTATTTAAATATTGGTTCCCTCCTCTTCATACAAGTGGAAGAAAAGGGGGGGGCAGGGTACCAACTGGGCCATGAGGTTACCCCTTAGCACAGCAATGAAGAACATCCAATGCCACAGATTCTGCAGGAGGAGAAATCCCAAGGGCATACAGTATTCCTGAGAAAGATCCCAGATTTTTCTGAATCAGTCTTAATCTGATTTGTTTTGGCTACACAGTTATGTTGTTATACCTCTGACATATACAAAAAATGGTCACTTTATTTCAATCCAGACAACTCAGCATAGTACAAATGACGGCATAAAGATCCATTTGTTCAGACTCAGCTTGCTTTTGTTTTTAATACTGGGGGATAAACCAAAAAAAAGTGTAATTTTTATCATTTGTATCCTTCATTCTACTTACTGGAGTGGAATCTCCAGGGCCTTCAGATAATCTGGGAAGACCTGACTATTCCTGTGAGGCAAGCACATCCCTGCGGAGCTCTACTCAGAATAATGCATGATAGACTCAACATAATTCCCAGGAAAAAGCCCAGTCACTCCATTCATAACTCCCTCATACCAACCATCGTCATTCTTCTTGATGACATAAATAATGGCTCCTTCCTGAAAGGACAGCTCATCTTCCTTGTCCTTTGTATAGTCATAAATTGCCACAACTGGGAGGGAAGAAAAACAAAATAGGATGTGAAAGAGAGTAATATTCCTAGAAAGACAGAAGCAAGCAGGTGAATATCTATCCTTTCCCAAATCCTGTAGCACTCATTCATGGTGACTTTCTACACACCAACCAAAACGTATTTTTTTCCTAAGTAATACCCAGTCATATACAATGAAATTCCATATTCTACGGATGTTAGGCTTTACATTGAGTACAAATGGTGAAAAAGGACATTTAATCAAATGTGCTTTTGATTAACTTTCAAGAGCCTACAGGAAAGTACCTCATTAAAGAGATACACAATCCTATAATCAAGAAAGATGGCTGTTTCTTCATCTGAACTTGTGTTGAGATACCATATTTGGTTTAAAAAAAACCGAAAAGCTTTTCTTTACCTTAGAATTATACTAGTGCAATGAGATACACTATGAGAGACAAGTGAGAAACCTGACAGACTAATGAACAGCAGATTTCTGTCTTCTTCCTCTCACTCTCTGGAGCCTATGCCTCTTCACTAAATAGAATGGTGGTTGAATTTCCCCAAGTTAAATGTATGAATGATGGGAGTCTGCTACATATATTCTTTCAAAATATATGCTGCATTATGTCAAGCAATTTAATATAACCATAATAACAGACTAAAAGTGCCAAGAAAACCAAGATACCTATAAGCCCTCCTGTGATTTTCATTGCTTAAATCACTTGGTAACTTGGCTCTTTCAGTCATTATCTGTGGTTATTTCAACTGTTATCTTATTTCAACCAGATAATCTCTGGTTCCCAAGTATTATATCAACTTCAACAGTTTAGTTATACTGGGATATCCTGTAACTTGCTCAAATCCACTTGAAGAGTTATCCTTTGCTCCAACCTCTTATCTCCTGTACCTTTTTTATAGCACTCAATGAAATCTCCATCTATCCATTGTTCTGAGACAAATATACTGTCTTTGTTAGTTTCTCATGTGACCTTATACCTCACGTAAATAAATGGGAAACAAACCACAACAAGGACTTTTGATATAATGTAATGTGCCCCAGTTAAAGAAAATTTGTTTCTGGCCTGTTTTAATAAAAATTAAATAGCTTCCTTAAATTGTGAATATTTTCCATTAGAGTGATATAGTAGGAACACCAGAATTTTTTTTTTTTTTCTGAGACAGTCTCAATCTTAATGCCCAGGCTGGAATGCAGTGGCACCATCTCAGCTGACTGCAACCTCCGCCTCCCAGCTTCAAGTGATTCTCCTGCCTCAGCATCCTGAGTAGCTGGGATTACAGGCTCATGCCACCATGCCCAACTAATTTTGTATTTTTAGTAGAGATGGGTTTCTGCTATGTTGGCCAGGCTGGTCTTGAACTTCTGACCTCAGGTGATCCACTTGCCTTGGCCTCCCAAAGTGCTGACATTACAGTAGTGAGCCATCTGCACCCGGCCAGAAAATAGAGGATCCTTGCTAGGAAGAGATCAGCGTGCATTTCTCAATACACAACCAAATGCCTGAACACAATCAAATGTAGTTAAATGGCATACAAGTTTAAATATAAGAAAATACAATTTAGAATATTTAGCATTTCTAGTCAAGCCAGTATTTTCTACTGTTTTTTTAAGGAACGATAACATTGCTGATGCTTAAAGAAATGCAAACCTTTGGCTGGGCATGGTGGCTCATGCCTGTAATCCCAGCACTTTGGGAGGCCAAGGCAGGCAGATCGCTGACGTCAGAAGTTTGAGACCAACCTGGCCAACATGGTGAAACCCTGCCTCTACTAAAAATACACAAATTAGCTGGGCATGGTGGTGGGCGCCTATAATCCCAGCTACTCAAAGGGCTGAGGCAGCAGAATAGCTTGAACCCGGGAGGCGGCAGTTGCAGTGAGCTGCTATCAGGCCACTTCACTCCAGCTTGGGCAACAGAGCGAGACTCTGTCTCAAAAAAAAAAAAAAGAAAAAAAAAAATGCAAACCCATGAGAAGTAATTCAGAAGAGAATATGAAGCCTGTTGTAACAGAGATGTTTAGAAGTGGGAAGTTAGTAAACTCTATGTACATTCATTTTCTTCTTTAAAATGTAGAAACTGCCAGCCTGAGCAACATAGCAAAACCCTAGATCTACAAATACAACAAGAACCACCACCAAAAAAAAAAAAGTGGGGGGGGAAAATTAGCCAGGCATGGTGGCGTGTGCTTGTGATCCCAGCTACTTAGGAGAATCACCTGAGCTCAGCAAAGTGAGGCTGCAGTAAGCCGTGATTGTCCCACTGCACTCTAGCCTTGGTAACAGAGTAAGATTTGTCTCAAAACAAATCAAAAGTAGAAACTGGATTAGGTAGAATTTACACTGAACATGATTCCAGAGACTCTGTTTATAATGGTATGTAGCTGAGAGTTTTAACAACTGTTCAACATTTTTTCTTTTGCCAAAATTAGTATTCACTATTTTAAAATTAACTTTTTTAAAAATCAGAAATAAGCTGTTAAGAATATTCATTTTCTGGCTGAGCACTGGGGCTCACACCTATAATCCCAGAACTTTGGGAGGCCAAGGCAGGAGAATCTCCTGAGGCCATGAGTTCAAGACTAGCCTCGGCAACATAGCAAAACCCTGTCTCTAAAAAAACAGAAACAACAAATTAGCCAGGCATGGTGGTACATGTCTGTGGTCCTAGCTACTTGGGAGGCTAAGCAGGAGAATCACTTAAGGCCAGGAAGTTGAGGCTGCAGTGAGCAGTGAATGCACCACTGACTCCAGCCCGGGTGACAGAACAAGACCCTGTCTCTAAAACACATAATAAGTAATTAAAAAAAAAATTTTAAGGATTTTTAAAAGAATATTCATTTTTGACTCCAGGGAAAAATATACACCATGCTGGGCCTTCTAATTTTAATCCTATAATTTTATATGAATATGCTGCAGAGTAAAAGGTAAAGAATAATGGTATCATACCATTAGAAAAGGACCCAGACTGGGCTGGGTGTCGTGGCTCACACCTGCAATCCCAGCACTTTGGGAGGCAGAGGTGGACAGATCGCCAGGTCAGGAGTTTGAGACCCGCCTGGCCAATATGGTGAAACCCCACCTGTACTAAAAATACAAAAATTAGCCAGTGTGGTGGCATGCACCTGTAGTCCCAGCTATTCAGGAGGCTGAGGCAGGAGAATCACCTGAACCCAGGAAGTGGAGCATGCAGTGAGCCGAGATCCCGACACTGCACTCCAGCCTGGGTGACAGAGTGAGACTCCACCTCAAAAAGAAAGAAAGAAAGGACCCAGATTATCTTCTCTCTCATAAAATAAGTAAATTGAAACAAAGAGCAGCAATCTAAACATAAAACCCTCTACACTATAAATTCCTGGAGGTAAGAACCCATCCCTTACTCATCTCTGTGTAACCCTATCATCGAACACAAGGCCTAGCTTTTTGGATACTTCCAAATACATCTACATTCTACATTATTCAACTACAGAGGCAGTAATAAATATAACTTAAATACATATGGGGAAAAAAATAAGGTGATATTAAAGTAACAACAACGTACAACAAAAGGTCCAAAAGGAGACTGTTACATAGAAGTGACGATCTGAACTAAAAAGACTGACCACCAAATATTGTAGGGCATTAGCAACCACGCCTAGCAATTAAGTACCCTAAACCGGCAAGCCACTGGAAAAATCAGAATGCTAGCAAGATTATCCATTTCAATATGTCGTTTGTATTAAATTACATATTGTGAGTTGACACCATTTATATGGCAAATGAAAAGTTCATCCTAAGTCAGCAAAACTTCATTTAACATACTTTGGAATTTATGTTATAACTTGCCCTAAGGTGCGGCAAAGTTAACCTGGACACTATCAATGAAGAGTTGGTTAAACCACTTAACAGTGCATTCTAAGAAATGTTTTGAACCTACTGGAGATGCTGTTTCTATGAAAATAATGCCGCTTAACTAATGCCATATTCCTTCTGCCCCTACCTCTCTAATGAAACTATGACTTGAAAAAAAGTGGCCTTCTACTTTTGAGTCTCTTCCCAGTTCTTTTCCTAACGTTCCTGTAGTGTTTGGCCATGATGATTACCTATGGCCTCTTCCTGACATTTTCCTCCATGGCTTCCATGACAGTGTCTTTTCCCAGTTCTCTTATAACTCTTCAAGTTTATGTGAAGCCAGGAAACTAGGAGTCATCTTTGTCTTCCCCTTACTCACTCACCTTCCCCCACACCCCCAAGTCCTGTTAATTCCACCTCTTAAATCTCTCAAATCCCAACACTTCTCTCCATCATCATGGTCACTACCCTAGTGTACCCATCTTTAAAATGGAGTACATTTATGACTCAGGGTACCTGAAGATTTAGAAAACCTGCTTAGAAAGCAGTATGGGTAGCAGATAGTTTTATAGAGACTCTAGAGATTTTCTTGAGACAGGGTCTTACGCTATTGCCCAGGTAGGAGTGCAGTGGTGCAATCACAGTGGTGCAGCCTTCAGACTCCTGGACTCAGGTGATCCTCCCACCTCAGCCTCCAGAGTAGACGGAACTACAGGCATGCCTGGCTAATTTTTCTATTTTTTGTAGAGATAGGGGTATTGCCATGTTGCCCAGGCTGGTCTCAAGCAATCTGCCAGCCTCAGCCTCCCAAAGTGCTAGGATTATAGGCATGACCCACCGCATGCACCTAGCTCTCTTTCTAGATTTTCTAATCTTGTAAGTATGGCTTCCTAAAATTGATCTGCTTGGGATCATACCTTCAGTCAAGAAGTCGTAAAGTTTTATTTTTTTGTCCTTCTACTTAAAAAAAAGTACAGTGGTGGACTGTCTTAAAAAGTACAAAACACTGAGTGCCAAAGGGACCATTCAAAATAATGGTGTTGACATTAAAAGAATCACTCCACTGACTGAGTAACCTAATGCATTTGCAAGTCAGGTGCTCCATTCCTTTGTTTTTAATAAGAAAAGACCTTGATGATACATCATCAAACATGATTTTTGAAGATAGGTT